TGAGAATTTTGAGTATTGCAAATCTAATTTGGGAGAAATTGAACTGCTACGTAATATTGATCCTTCTATATGGCCGTGAATGCTGGTCATTTTTCTCACAGGTGAAGAGGAAACTTGACGCAACTAAGATGTGGTTCTACAGAAGGATGCTGAGAATACCAAGGATGGAACATGTGAACAACAAGGACGTTTTAAGAAAAATGGATACGAAAAGGATATATATTTTAAATTTTTTTAATCATTTCACTCCAAGCCATTGAGATATGAGTTTACAGAGTATTAGAGAATATGAGTAAATATACTATTAAAGAGAGGGGACTATAAGAAAAAAAATAAGAAGACTGAAGATAACGATTGACATTGCATTTAAATGTTTGAAGATCAACGTTGACTGGAAAGCAAGAAACCGAAAGAGAGTTCCACAAGCGAGAAGTGCGAGAGAAGAAAATGTGAGCATAAAGTTAGATCTAGCCATTTCAATTGTAAATTCTTGAAAAGTTGTCGTCAATCAAGTATTACGCTCAAATTCATAAAGTCTAGGTACCATGGAGTTAGGTTCGCTGGTACAATGACCATGAAAGTATTTATAGAAAAGACACAGGGAAGCTATGTTATGAGGAGGGGGGATTGACTGAAACTGAGATGCCAGATCCGGACCAATAACATAGCAAGTTCTTCTTTGTATTTTATCAAGAATCTCTAAGCACATAGCAGAAGTAACAGACCACATGTAACATCAATATTCAATTCATGGCTGAATGATAGACTTATAAATGTGTACGATAGATTCTGTCGAGAAAAATTGTTTATCTCGATACAGTGAACCGACTTTCCTAGCAGCAGATCTGGCAGTTGATTCCATAGAATTGTTCTACTTTATGTTAGCGGAAAACGTTAGGCCGAAAAGTCGCAGTGTCACTTTCCTTGTTTCGTTCTTTGACAGAGAAGGGTTTATGTAAATGAATGATTGTCTAGACCTAAGAGTGTAGGTTTAAAAGAAAGTGTGACAAAACGCATGAAGGGGCAATGGACATAGATCAACAAAGACCTACAATGTGTAGGTCCTTATTAATTCTTTGATAATGATTATGAGAACCGAAAGCGCTCAGAAAACAGAAATGGGATATATAAAGTCTATAGTGAAACCAGGAAAATGTGCCGGTCTGAACGGAAGCTCACTCATGTGTGAGCAAAAAAAAAAAAAAAAAAAAAAAAAAAAAAACTTAAACAAAGAACTTGAGTTGCAATTCATCCAAAAATAATAAAAAAAAGAGTCACAATAGTTGGGATCATCAAGTCAATGCGAACAAAATTGTTCTTACCTGCAATAATATATGCTTCGCCAGGGCTACGCACAGTTTTGAATTCCGATTTTTTCCATCTCCTAGACCAGTTGCCAACCAAGGCTATAGAACCCAGTCTTCCGTACTATTAACCGATAGTTGGAGGAAGAAGAGTTGATAGACATACATCAACAAAGAATCACAATGCACAGGTTCTTATTAAATTAAGAAGCAAGAAGCCGAAAGAGAGTTCAAGAAGTGAGATAGAAGAAACTGTTAGCATAGAACTTACGGTTACATCTAGCCATTTCAAAGGCAAAATGATGAGACCTTGTCGCCAAACTAGTACTGCGCTTAAATTCATAAAGTCTAGGTACCATAGAAGAAAGTTTACCATGAAACCATTTATAGAAAAGACACAGCTATGTTACTTATACTTAGAATCGGAAAGTGACAGTTGAAATTATTGGGATAGATAATGAGAAAAGAGTGCTGGGAGAATTTAAGGCTCACAGGACATATTAAAAGCACGTGGACCATAGGCAAACAGCGAGTAACCTACCTGAGAAGATTGTGTAAACAGGTACAAAACTTTGCTAACGGCTACAACGGATAGTAAGTTGTGGAGAGGCGCAACCTGAAGTGACACGGCACATAAATGAAGAAAAGAAGCACTCGATGAAGAGATGGAGAACTAAAATTTACTTGTTAACAGCTTCTGTGTTCTTTCTTTTAAGATGTTCTTACACCCTTGTGCAAATTAATTAAGACAAAGCGAATAATTCCGTTATTATTTATTTTTTTCGTATTTTCCCAATGAAACATGACCCAGTGCACATGTTAGTACTTATATATCCGCCTTTATTTTTTAGAAGTTCTCTGATGCGATTTGCCATGGGATCCATTAATTTGAAGCAGTCCTCACTGACTTTGTGGTCACGGTACCACACGTCTGTAATGGCTGTCACAAGCTTCTCTTTCGTCGTACAGTCCGCGATCTCTCTTTAAGGCTTGCCATTGTGTTCGTGCAGCGTTGCAATTTTCGTACGCTTTTTTTTGGAGTAACGTCCATCGCAGACAATAGCCGTAGGACAACTAATCAACAGTCGAGACAATAGTGTCTGGGTGTGTTAAAAATCTGATGCATTCACGGATGACGCAATATTTTTCAAAGCCAAATAAATTTCATGATGCACCCGGAAAATAGGTTCATATTACTGCACACCACTGCAAATGACCTAATCTGAGGAATATATAGAAATCGATTACACCCTGCCACTCCAGTGGGTCTAAAACGAACCGTATGGTGAAAGAAATGAATCTAAAGCGGTTGTTTCTATCAATTTGCACAAGAGTGTATATATAGGAATCATGGTACCATAGAGTTTATTCTTTGTTAATTGCCACGACTTGTTGGAAAAGCTATTGGAGTGGTTTCCCATTGACTTCTCCAAGGTTTTGGAATTACGAGTTGTCATTTTCGTTGACTGGTTGTGACCCAATAACAAAAGGTTTGTCTATCCTGCTTTTTAGCACATAGGTAGGAGAAGAAGAACTGGAATAATGCCTTCCGAAAGCTATGAGTGCGAAATGATTGGAGCCGGAAAGGAGGGAAACCTGTGGAAAAATATATCTATCTCAGTTTGTACATACCAATCTGTCCATCTATCTCAGTCTGTACATACCTATCTGTCCATCTATCTTAGTCTGTACAGACCTATCTGTCTATCTATCTCTGTCTGTACATACCTATCTGTCCATCTATTTCAGTCTGTACAGACCTATCTGTCCATCTATCTCGGTTTGTACATACCTAAGTTTGTTCGTATCTATATCTAGATATATATGTGAACAATGCATAATAATAATAATAATAATAATAATTATTATTATTATTTAGGGGAAATAGTAGTGAGACCATGATTATAGACTCCAGAAAAGAGGCATCATTTATTCTGTGAGGATTCTCTGAAATGTTCTTGAGCTGTTGTGGGTCATGTTGACACCATGCCTTTAGAACAATTTCTGTTCACTACGTCAATGTGCGAGACTAACATAATAATAATTATTTGGCTGTGTTGCATGTACTCGGTATCCTTATCTTCCTATATTTCTACCCCTGCGTCACTTCATTTGCGTGTTTTCTTTCTCTCTCTTTTTTCCTTAATAATAATTTATAATAATAATAAAAAATAATGGGTATAGTCTACACCTATCAAATTGGATGTCATGATGGGCATATTCCGTTTAGTATATGGGCTTCCTATATTTGTACCTCATCGCCACTTTTTGACGCACTAAGCTTTCACACAATAATAATCATAATAATAATAATAATAATAATAATGCAACTAGACCATCCATAAACCCGTTGGATTTTCTTTAAAAGTAGTTCATGATACACAGTAATGAAGTAAAAACATTATCAATTTTATTATTAATTACATATTTTAGTTTGTAATTAAAGACCGTAAAAGAAGGTTTATTGTTCCGCTTGGATTTATAGTTAACACATTGCATGAAAACTTAACATTGCAAGTAGTAGCATAAAACAGGTATAGTCTTTTTCAAAATAATAAGTACATTTTTTATTATGCACATTTGTTTCTTACTCGCATTTATTAAAAAATACATAACGGTAGCAAATCAGCGTGCATCTATTTATTTATGTACCATCAAGTCTTGCGACATATATATCTTCTTCACTTTTCAAGTAGATATAACCGTAAGTTCTATGCTAACAGTTTCTTCTATCGCACTTCTCGCTTGTGGAACTCTCTTCCGGTTCCTTGCTTCTCAGTTAACCTTGAACTTCAAAAATGCAATGTCAATCGTTGTTTTCTGTCTTCTTAATTATTGTTATTTTATTGTCCTATTTCTTTAATAGTAGTTTTTCTCATATTCTCTAACACACAGTAACCGCTTGAGTCTTAGTGGCTTTATTGTTTTGTTTAGGGTGAAATGATTTAAAAAAAGAAAAGAAAAAAGTTGTTTATGAAAATGACGTAGTGTAGTAAATTGTATAAATATATGTTGTGTTATGTATATTTAAATTTATTTAAAAATTTTTTTTTTTATTATGGATTATGAGTATTTATTATTTCACACACATAATAATTGGAATACAACAAAAACAAATACTGAATCTTTTATTTAAAAATACTGTAAAAACAGGAAAAAGGCCCTAGCTTAAGAACCTCTTGTCTAATTTTAATGAAATTTGGCACGGCAGTCGGCAGTGAGTGTGGGTATAATATGCTTCAAAATTGGGTATTATGTATTTAAGCTGGAAGGAACGCTTATACATGCATACAGGTTTTAGTATTATATAGAATCTTTATAGTTCTGATATGCATATTTATGTCACCTTATTTATATATATATATATATATTTTTTTTTTTGAACAGGGAGTGGGTGCAATGCAGCCGAAAGCAAAAAGGTTCTTCTCAAGTCTGTCGGAGACACCCGGTCCAGGCGCATACAATGTTCGTTCGACACGAGATAGGCAGCGGTCCAAGTCAGCTGCTGACTCAGCACAACAGGTGTCCAAGGTCTGTGTGTCATACGTACGCTATTATTTTTTTTTGCCTACACGTTTTTTATTTTGTTTCTTTTTTTTTTGTTGTTGTGGTTGTTTTAACTTTCGGTCTTCTTCTTCTTTTTATTTTATTTATTTCTTGCAACATTTTCCCCACTTCTTTTATCTCATTTATAAGTGCCCTTTTAGTGTATAATGGCGCTGATACATTTCATCATGCAACGAACGGCAAATGTACACGTCAATACACGCGTGTTTACCTAGCTATCTTCACACACGGCTGCGGTAACGGTGGGGGGGGGAGCATGAATACAGTCATGTCATATACCCACTATTTACGCATGCATGCATACTCAGATACTGACACACACACACACACACATGCAGATGTAGAGATAAAATAATCTCTCTTACACGTACACGCACACATTGAACATACTTTAAAAAAATACAATACTTTAAATTAAACAAATAAGATAACGCCCACAAATAAAATATATAAATAAACACATTATAAATAAATAATAAACAAATTAACATTACGAGTATTCCTTTTAAACATAATCGTGTGGTGGTTGAAAAAACTCAAGTTAATCTAACTCTCTCTCTCTCTCTCTCTCTCTCTCTCTCTCTCTATATATATATATATATATATATATATATATATATATATATATGTGTGTGTGTGTGTGTGTACGATGAAAAAATATAGTTTTAAGCTATGCTATAGATTAAAGTGCACAATATGACGGATAGAGTTTCAGTTAATATAAAAGTGGGCATTGAGGTCAACACCAACAGTGACAGTTTGTTTCACGTTTAAACGCAATCTTCAGGCCATTATATATATATATATATATATATATATATATATATATATATGTGTGTGTGTGTGTAATTTATTTTAGAATATTACACCGGAAACATGTCAAAATCGCTACAAAATTGCAGTCGAGTTTCGATGCTTATCAGTGCATCTTGTCAGGCGATTCTGAATTGTGAAGCTATTTTTACATGTTTTCGGTGTAATATCCTAAAATAAATAATATTGCTCTACTTTATATTGATCCTCTTTTTAAATTAAATGTTACAAACGTTGGAATTGCAATCTATTCGTTTTCATAGTACCTGTGTATGTATATATATATATATATATATATATATATATATATATATATATATATATATATATAATGACAATAGGAAAACTGTAGTTATTGCTGACGCGTTTCGTCCTATGTGGACTTTCTCAAAGCAAAAAAAAAAAAAAAAAACTCAAAAACAAAAAATACGAAATGAATTTAATTAAAGAAAGTAACTAATAATAACAAAAACAGAATGTTCTTAGCAACTGGAGGAATGTAGAGAACGCTACTTTCATATTGTTAACTGAAAATAACGTCAGTTTTCCTATTGTCATTTGTATTTATAAATATTGACTTTTTTACAGGTTAACTCTGAGAAATTTTCATATATATATATATATATATATGAAGAAAAATTTGGGAAAAACAAACAAAAATCCTTAAATACAATTATGTTGTTTAAAATGAATGAAATGTCGACGTCTGACGTTTCGGTTTAATAAACCTTTTTCAAGACAATATTCATTAAAATACAATTCAGTTCAATTTGACAAAGACGATGGACATAAACAACAAGTCTTATCCAAAACAGATAACTGAAAATTTTTAAAATGATCAGCTTTCCGTTTAGCATGGTCACGTTGTCGTCACATGGGCGACGCTTGGATAAGACTTGTTGTTTATGTCCATCGTCTTTGTCAAATTGAACTGAATTGTATATATATATATATATATATAGATAGATAGATAGATAGATAGATACACCTAGTGAGCCAGACAAACAGGTTTGTCTGGCTCACTAGGTGTATCTAGGTCTGCTCTACGATTGTATTGAGCTCTTTTGTTAGTTAGTTGTTACTCGTATCGGGTTTTTTTTTTTGGGCTTCAGACCTGCATCTGTGCGATTTTTTGTCGGCAGAAGTTCATGTTTGCAGCTCTTTCTTTTTTTAAAACCTTTTTTTCCCTCGAGATTGATTTGATTATTGGCAAATCAAAAATCTGAATATATGCAATATTATAGGGATGTCCAAACCGCGGCTTGCGAGCCACATGCGACTCTTTGACCTGTAGTATGGGGCTCGTGGAAATATGCTGGTTGAGCTCCTTTTTTCATCACACTTGATAGCAAAAGTAAAGAAGAAAAATTTGAGTATTTATAATTATTTATTGTGTACAAATTGAGACCCCATTAGTTTAAAACTTATGTATA